GCAGGAGGGCGGCCGCCCGGATGTGCGGCTGTGACGGGCCCGGTGACCGCGGCCCCCAGCCCGGGGCGGCATGCTGCCCCGGACCCCTGCTCCTTGGAAGCTGGCTCGGAAGCTGCGCCATCCGTGCAGCTTAGGCGTGGTGGTGCCCGGGGTCCTCACTGACCGGAACACATGCCAAAGTTGGGGTCCAACAAAACGTGGTTCCCCAACTGGATTCCCCCATTTGTCCCCGAGAGGCCGCTCTGACCGGGATGCTCCCAGGGTGTGTTTGTTCTTGAGGCAAAGGACCCCGACGGAGGGGAGGCCGGCTGGGGCTTGCCCACGGGGTGGGGGTGACGCGAGGGGAGAGGAACTGGGGGTGTAAACAGGCGAGACGGGGTTAAACTGCGGGGAACGGAGGCTTACAGGAGGGGCTCTGGCTCGGCTGTGGAGAGCGTTCCCACAGCCTTGACCTGGAGACAGTGCCAGGCCAACTAGGTCCATGACGTGACTGCCCTGGCAGGCAGGACTGGGGACAGGCTCAGGACACGGTGTGGGCCCGGGCTCGGCACAGACAGGGTGACGACAGCCAAGTATCGGCTACGAGTCTGGGGCGAGCAGGGCCGGGGCGGGGGCTGCGGCCCACAGGCCCCCCGTTGTCACGCCGGGAACTGTGTGCACCACTGATCTAAGCACGCAAGTGCCAGGGAGCAGGTGGTGCCTCTGAAATAGCAGTCGAGGCAAATGGCCTGCTGGAGTCTGCAGTGGCTCTCAAAATGGTTCCAGTCTCCCCAGATCTTGGCACAGAGCTCCCAGGGGCTCTGGCCTCCCCCGGCTGAGTGGGCAGGCGGCCCGGTGGCAGGCTCTGGGCCACCCAGTTGGGCCCCTAAGACTCCACAGCTCCCCCAGGTCCCAAGCACCAGGATAAACAGCTCGGCTGGTCTCCGTTGCCCTGCCCTCCAGCCCCGGCACAGGCTCCTTTGAGCCTCGCGCCCCCAGAGGCCCCGGGACACCCTGCTCTACGAGGACGTGATTCTGTGGGAAAGGAGAGGCCCCGGCCGGGGGTGCCAGGGGGCTCGGGGGCCCAGCGCAGGGCGGCAGGGCTGGTGGGTGCAGTCCCTCCCCAGGCACCCGGGACCCCTCCTCCGTTTTCCCCTTTCCTTTGGGCAGCACAGCCCCCGGAGCAGGAGGTCACTGGGTGGGGAGGGGGTGTCCCCTGGGTTGCATGGGGAGAGTGCAGGAGTGAGGCTGCTGGCTCGGTCCACGAAGCCCCTTCCCCACCTGCAGGGCGTTGTGGCTGGCGTAGCTCTTCACGGGCCCTTGGCGCCCAGGCCCGGCACTTGGTGGGTGTCTGGGCTGCTGTCCGCGTTGGGCGCTGGTTGGGTGCTGGGATGGGTCGGCTGGAGGCAGAGCCCAGCAGGCCTCGGGGTGGAGGGGGGCCTGCGGCCCAATCCCCTGCCAACCCCGCCTCTCACTCCCCAGGTGGTGGTGCTGATGGACCCCGGGGAGGACCCCGAGGACCCGCTGCGCACACACCAGTCCCGGGAGAAGACCTTCATCTTTGACACTGTTTTCGACCAGCAGGCATCCCAGGTGCCCGCCCCTCCCCACCGCCCCACGTCCCCGCGGAGCCAGGCCCGCGTGGGTGTCCTCACGCGGGGGGCTTGGCAGCCATGTGGCCTCATCTACGGCGTCTCGCGAATCTCCCTGAGGATCAAGGAGGTTGGCACTTTGGGTCACCCCAGGGCAGAAGCAGAGGCCCCGTCCAGGGACGCGGGGGGCTGCCAGGTGCCCGGGCTTTATACACATTCTCACACATCCTCCGTGTGTCCGTGTGTCCGTCCACCCACCCATCCACCCAACAAAGTCCTGTCCTGTCCTCCACGGCGCTAGAACACACTCCCTGCCCACAGGGGCTCACATCCCAGCAAGACAGACAGACAGACGACAGGAGACAAACGGTGATAAGCACCGTCCTGGAGACCAGCCAGGCGAGCGAAGGCCTTCCTGAGGGAGAGCGAGTCAGGCGAGACCTGAAGGAGGAAGGAGGCCGCTGTGAGCACACAGTGGGGAGGGTCTGGCGGAGGCTGCCCGGCGCCCGCTCCACAGACGAGGAGTGGGGTCAGGCTGCGCTCCTCACCTCCGCCCTTCACGAAGGACGGAAGGCCGTCCAGCACGTCCTGACCCTCACGTTACAGAGGGCGGCCCGGGCTCAGTGTGGGTGACACACGGGAAGGTGCTTACTCCTGAGCCCGGCCAAGCAGGACTTGAACCCAGCCTCTCGAGGTGGGACGGCCACGTCTCCGGGGTGGTGATGCCTGCGGGATGTTTGGCCCCAGGACAGAGCCCAGTGAGGGACGCAGGGGTCCGTGCTCACTCCCGCCCTGCACCCAAATGTCTTTCCCACAGTGCGGGGTGCCCAAGGCACCCCTGCACTCAGCACAGCCCCCTCAACTGCCAAGAAGCCACGGCTCCCACCTGTCCGCTGGCTTGCAGCGCAGCAGGGCCGAGGCTGCATACAGCCGCTCGCCACCATCCTTCGTGGCTCTTCGGGTGGATGAGGGTCAGCCGGGCAGGCCCTCCTGTGGTGCTGGGCGTTCACGTGGAGCACCGGGGTTTCCCACAGGCGGCCTCTCCATGCAGCTTGGCCTTCCTCTCAGCATGGCGGCCCCAGAGCACAGGCGGGAAGGTGGGCGCTGCCAGGCCTCTCGGGGCCCGGCCCACCGCACCACATCTGCCACGCTTCACTGGGGGAGCGAGTCACTAGGGCTGGCCTGGACGGCCTTCTGTCTGTCCGCAGGAGGAAGTGTACCGTGCCACCACCCAGCACTTAGTGGAAGGCGTGATTTCTGGATACAACGCGACGGTGTTTGCCTACGGCCCCTCAGGTACCACCACGGGCAGTGTCCCGAGGAGGGGATGGGGCTGGTGGCAGCGGAACCGTTTCCAGCAGCACAAAGCACCTACTGTGTGCTGGCCGTGCGCTGGTCCCTCTGCATCCGCTGGCTCCTTTGGTCCTTGCAGGAGCCCCAAAAGGCAGGTAGAGCACCCCCTGCCCCGTCACAGATGAGAAAACTGAGCCTCAGAGAGGTGAGGGGACTTCCCCAAGGTCACACAGCTGGTAGGAGTGAACCTGGCACTCAGCCCAAGCCTACACTTTGCTGCCCATGGGAGCCCACAGATTTCTTCTCTGCAGTGACAGGCTGGGATCGCAAACACTCAGACGCTAAGCTGCTCTCCTAAGAACTAGAATCGCAGAGGGCCAGCGCTGGGTGAGCCCTGCGGCCCTCCCCCTGCAGGTGTGGAAACGGAGGCCCTGGGAAGCCTGGCTCAAAGCCACAGCTTGTTTATTTCATTCATTCATTCATTCATTCAACAAACATTAGGGAGCACGTACTATGCGCTGGGCTCTAACAAAGGAAAAGGGCCAGCTGGTCCTTGCCTCTAGGGGCGAACGGGTACAGGGTGGTGAGGCACTGCTTAGAAAGTTTCGCACGTACGTTAATTCTATTACAGAAACAATACAAACACCTTAAAGCAAATTTGGAGCGGGGAATCCGGCCTCCCTCCGCTGACTGCGCCTTTGCTTTACGTCCTCCAGGCTCCCTGCCTGCCTAGGTGCCCTCCACACAGCGGCCATCAGGCGGCTCAGACAGGGTGGTTTTCTTTTTCCTTGTTTCCAAAATGGAAAACGAGAGTGCCAGAGAGCAGGGGCAGTTTGCTCAGTAAAGGCCGCGGGCGTGGCCAGGCTCGGGGTGGGGCCCAAGTCCAGCTCAGGAGCCCCGCCTGGGTGGCGTCCTGCTCCCCTCGCAGGTGCCGGTAAGACCCACACCATGCTGGGCACGGACGCGGAGCCTGGCATCTACCTGCAGACCCTCACCCACCTCTTCCGGGCCATCGAGGAGACCCGAGACAGCGCGGACTGCAGCGTGTCCATGTCTTACCTCGAGGTGAGCCCCCCCGCCCGCCTCGGCTGCAGAGCCCCCACCTGTTACCCCAGGTGGCCCCGGCCTGTGGGAAGCCTCCGCCTTCCCGGCGTCCGCATCCCCTCTGGAGGTGCCGAGCCCCAGTGACAGGCAGGTCCCTGCACTGCTGCCTTTGCACCAAAGCTCCCGCTCCCAGCGTTTCTGTGTCGTGCAGATTTATAACGAAGCCATCCGGGATCTCCTAAACCCGTCCTCGGGGTTTCTGGACCTGAGGGAAGATGCTAGGGGCAGCATCCAGATTGCAGGCATCACGGAGGTCTCCACCTCCAACGCCCAGGAGGTGAGGCCCACGGGGGGACACTGGCAGCCACGCTGGCAGGCACCAGTCCCCACAAGGTCCCTCACGGTCAGGTTCACAGAGCAGAGTCGGACACACAGCTCCTCCTGGGCTCAGGGAGCAGCCCACGCCCGCCCACCCCAGCCACCCTTGTCCTGCCCTCCATGCTGCGCTCAGGGCAGGCATCACCAGTGAACCACGCAGCCTTCCCTCTGTGTCCACGTGCAGGTGTGGAATCCACCTTCCTGCAGCACCCCAGGCGGGCCCCGCCGGTCAGGGTCAGCCTCACCTCTAAAAGCCGCACTGATCCTGAGTGCTGCTCCCACAGCCCTGCCCTCCAGCCTCTCCCGGTGCTGCCCTCCCACTTGCCCAGAACCCTTCAGCTGCTCCCTATGGCCCCCGACCCCTGGGTGACCGTGTTCTCCAGCCATGACGGCCTCGACCCGAGACCCTGCCCTGATGGCCCGTCGCGGGCCCCGGGTTGGAGAGGAGGGCCTGTTCTGTAGGAACAACGGGCATGTCAGTCTCCCTCCACGCATGCTTTGTGGTCCTCCCCCGCTGGCACGCAGTGGGTGCCCAGCAGAGGCTCACTGGCTTGATTTCCACCGCTGGTTGCACACAAAAGGCTTTCAGACCACCCGCTAACTCCAGCAGACCCCTACAACTGCCTGGAGTTCTGTATTGAAAGGGCTCTCTGGGGAAGAGACGGGTAATCCACTGGTGATGTCTGCCACGGGCAGAGGTGGGGAAGGGCTGCTACAAGTGCGACTCCCGCTGGTTCAGTTGGCGGATTCATTAATCACTTCCTGCCGCAAACCAGAAATTGCTTCCACCAGTTGAGGCTCTGCCATCTGCAGCCGGGGGCCGGGGAAGAGGCACCCCAAGGGGGCTCAGGGGTGCACCCTCCTTCTCTTGTTCTGGAGAGAGCGTGTAGCATGCAGGGGCCCTGACGGCCTCCCGCCTCTGCCTCGGTCCTCAGATCATGCAGCTTCTCACCAAAGGCAACCGGCAGCGCACGCAGGAGCCCACGGCCGCCAACCAGACGTCGTCCCGCTCCCACGCCGTGCTGCAGGTCACCGTGCGCCAGCGCAGCCGCGCCACTGACTTGGCGGGGGCAGTGCGCCTGGGGCGGCTCTTCATGGTGGACCTGGCGGGCTCGGAGCGGGCATCCCAGGTTCCTGGCCTCTTCGTCACAGTTCCTCCCCTTGTGTCCGTCTGCTCGCTAGTCCATGCGCAGGACACTGTCCCTCTTCGTTCAGCAGCTTCTCCAGCACCGAGACCGGCGCCTGGCCCAGGAGAGGCGCCTGCTAACCGCGCGCTGGGGACCGGGCCGCGGAGCCAGGATTCAGGGAGGGCACCCCGTGTGGCAGGCTCCCGGGGCACCAGACACACAGAGACGAGCTGCACCCAGACCCGCCGCTGGGAGCCCGGAGCCTCTCAGGGCGGGCGGGAGGCAGATGCGTGAGCAGATAGTTACAGCACAGGAAGGCCGTGCTTTGAGATTTGGGGTCACACAGAGGCTGTGGCACCCAGGATAGTGGGGTGGTTGTGGGGCCTCAGAGCTGAGCCCGAGGAAAAGCCTGTCAGGTGGAGGGAGCCACAAATGGTGGGGGGTGTTGGTCGGGAGGCCGCGCCCCGCCTGCCTGCCCCCTCGTCCCTGCTCCAGCCGTTGTGGCACCTGTCGCTGGGAGTGAGGGTTGTGCTCACCATTGCCTGGGGGGCTGAGCGGTCCTCAGGGACACCACCCAGCCCAGTAGCAGGAACAGGGAGGGTGCTGGATGGAGGCCGTGCCAGAACAATAATGCAACCAGCAAGGGACGCCTCTCCCATCCCTCCAAGGCACCAGCACTTAGCACTCATAAGCCCCGTAACCCCAAGTCTGTGAGGTGGGCGGCCTCACGCCTGTTTTACCAATGCTGGGCTGAGGCTCTGGTGGTGGCGGTGTGGCCTCGCCGTGACAACGCCGTGCACAACGGGAGGGGTCCGGCCCAGAGCTCTACCTTTCACGGCTGATACCCCTCCTGCAGTTTGCACAGTATGCTCTGTGTCCTCAGGGTGTGTTGGTCATTGCATCTCTTCACTCATTCACTCACCTTCCCTGTACCTGGCCCTGCCCTTGGGCCGCTGAAATGAGCAGACTGGCCAGCTAGCCCGCAGTCCGATGGGTCTGAAAGTAACATACTAATACAGTATGAGGCTGGAGGTGCAGTAGTCCAACACATCAGAGATGACCGCCCCGAGAAGATAGCGAGTTACTCACAGCTCCCGGACCGGGGTGGGGTGGGGTGGGGGCCACGGGATGCCTCGCAGGGCCACGTGGGGGGGGCAGGAGGTGGGGGGGGAGCGGGGAACTCGTGGGCCAGAGACTTTGTTGTGGCTTCTGTGGGAAGGCAGGGTGAGCAGGCTTGGGGTCAGCTAGTTTGGGTCATTCCACTGGGCCCTGGGGCACAAGGGCTGTCCCTGCTGACGAGGGCAGGGGGACAGTGGCCCAGAGTGTGGGGGCCCCTGGAGGAGGGGGTGGGGCAGGCTCTGGGTTGGCTGGTTTGCATTTGAAGCCTGTGCTCATGGGTGAGTGGCTTGTCTCTAGGACCCGGCCATCCTGGGAGGGACAGCAGGGCCCCCCGATGACAAAGCCTCAGAATAGAGAAAATAAGAGACATGGATGATACACAGACAGATGGGGGTGCACACAGCTTCACGTTCACGAAGCTGAGTGTGACAGAGGCCTGGGCTCTGCCTGTGCCGGCCAGACAGTGCTGTGTCCTCCGGGGCAGGTGGGGCCCGTCTCCCCTGGACTTGGTGCTGACAGAGGCCACCAGACTTAGGAGGTTGAGGCTTTGGGTCCTTGCTCTCCTTCTGCTCCAACTTGCTGTGTGCCTTTGGGCAGGCCACTGTCCCTCTCTGGGCCTTAGTTTTTAAGCTGTATACTCAGGTGGCCTAGTGCGCTGTCTTTAGGATCTGCTTGGCTCTCATGGTCTGTTGTTTCTTCAGAGAAAATTGCTCATGAAAGAGTTTGTTCCAGGGCACGAGGTCTCCAAGAAAGCCCCTTGAATCTGTGGCACAGATACGTGATACCTGAGAAGCTGCTGTGGCCTGGGTCATGCCAGCAGCCCCAGGCCTGCCCCACACCAGCTCCCACTCAGGGACACGGCAGCTCACGTCTACCGCTCGCTTCTGTGGGCCCTGCTCTGAGCTGGTCTCTTACATGTGTTGCCCATTAAATCCTGGCTGTGACCCGGGGCGACTGCCCCTTTTGTAAATAAGGAGACTGAGACAGGTTGGGAGATCCGTCCAGGATAAGTCATTTAAGCTATTCTCAAACTGCGCCCCAAACTGGCTCTAAACCCGTGCCCTTAAAATGTCATTCTTCTTCCTGATTTCAAATGTAGTAAAACTCAGCACAGAAAGTACGGAAAATGCGGTTAAGCCGAAGGAAGAAAATCAACATCCCCACAATGGCTGCACGGAGGGGAAGTCATCCCGACAGCCGTTTGGCGGGTGTCCTCCTAAGGCCCCTTCATGCATCTCCACGCATTTGCTCCACACACAGCCATTGAGCCCCACTGTGGGCCAGACACCCACCAGTGTCTGGGCTCTGGGGACACAGGGCCAACTCATGGGGCTTATGTCCTGTGGGGAGCAATTAAGGAAATATCAAATGTGTAAGAGATTTGAAGGAAATATACAGGGTGATGTGGTCTCCCCTGCAGAGAGTGAGGTCGGGCAGGCGCTCCCACAGGAGGACCAAGCTGAGACTGGCCATGGGTGTTGCCTCATGAAGACACACACATTCATATTTTTATTATAAAAGTGGATTGTTCTGCACAGACATCCCTCTGACCCAATTTTTATCTAATTTAATAGTGAGTGTCTTTTCAACATTGGTAAATAGCTCTACCCCATCCCTTTTACTGGCTGTGTAGTATTCCACATCAGAATCCAGTGTTTTTTCTGTCACTGGCCCCAGTGCTACAGCAGTACATCCATCCTGAGCCTCCTGGGGTGGGGCGGGGTTATTGCACCCTCCAGACCTCGGTCCCCTCCCCTTGGGCCCGGGGTTGGGGGACGGCAAGCAAGGGAAAGACCACCTCCCCGTCAGCCTGGCCTCTCCTCACGCAGACCCAGAACCGAGGCGTGAGGATGAAGGAGGGCGCCCACATCAACCGCTCCCTGCTGGCACTGGGCAACTGCATCAACGCTCTCAGCGAGAAGGGTGGCAGCCGGGCGCAGTACGTGAACTTCCGGGACAGCAAACTCACACGCCTGCTAAAGGTATGAGCCCCAGGCCCGAGCGGGGCACGGCTGCCTCTGACCGCAACTTTCAGGATTTACTGGATCTGTGGGCCCTTCCAGGAACCCCCGAAGGCAGGAAAATCGCTGTTTTCTCTGTAGAAACCATATCTAGTCTCTGTTTGACTCCTCCATCCACCCAAGTGTGGTCCCACCCACGCTTGCGTACTCCCAGGGACAGGGCACTGACTCCTTTGCCGGGCCACCTGTCCCATCCTGACAGTTTGACCAAGACAATTTCTCTTCATTCTGAGCTGAGTGCTGTCAGCTCTGTTCCACAGCGAGGCGGGGTGCAAGCAGACAAAGGGGCCAAGCAGCAAATCCATGTCTGCACGTCTGACCTCGGTCCAATCTGCCCGCGTCAGAGCACCAGTCAGACGGGCGGCCCTGCAGTGGTGCCACCTCGTCCGAGCGTCACCCCCACCGCTGGCCCCTTGGTCCCCAGCTGCCTTCTCAGGGTCTGGAGTAGGAGCCTCAGACAGGAGGGTCCGAAGAGCTGGGGACGGGTGGGGGAGGGGCGGCGCCGCCGGGCAGGTGGGGGTCTGGATCCCACCCCCGACTGTCGCTGTCCTCGGAGCAGGACGCCCTGGGCGGGAACAGCCGGACGGTGATGATCGCCCACGTCAGCCCGGCCAGCACGCACTTCGAGGAGTCGCGGTCCACCCTGCTGTACGCCTACCGCGCAAAGAACATCAAGACGAGGGTGAGGCCCTCCCTCCCTCTTGCTCACCCAACGGCTCTGAATCCCACGGCTCTGCCGCCAGAGGCTGGAGGGGAGGGCCCTTCCAGCTCCCGTGGCTTCTGGCACCCCGCCTGTGTCCGCGTCCCTCCAGATTCTGCTACTTTCGGAGCCTCCTCCCCCGCTTTGTGTCTCCCCTTCTCCTCCCGTGTTGATTGTAGGGCCCTCTTGCTCCGGCATGATCTCATCTCAAGATCCCTAATTACATCTGCAAAGACCCCTTCCCCCCAAATGAGGCCATTCGCGGGGCTCAGGCTGTTTAGGTGGGGACTTACCCGTGGGCCCTGGCTCCCGGTGGGAGTTAATGCAGCTCTCAGTGACCCTCTCCCTAGGAAGCAGGTCCTATCAGCCCATTTTACAGACTAAGCCACTGAAGCAGAGAGGCAAAGCAACTTCTCCAGCCTCCCACGGCTGGAGCAGAGCTGGTGTGGGACCCAGGGAGCCTGGCTCTGGAGTCCATGCCTTCGACCTCTGTGACATGAGATGAGCTCCCCTGGTGCCCGGCTCTGAGCTAGGCGCCTTGATGA